TATATATGCATGTATATATATGTATATAAATCACCACTGGCTACATGATGTGCTGAAATTTGAGATGTTAAAATGTGTCTTAAAATAGATAAAATACACACTGGTATGAGCATGAAACTCTTTTTTGTTGTTGTTCTTTTGAGACAGGCTCTCACTATGTAGTTCAGGCTGGGCTTAAACTATTCCTCAGAGAGAGGATTAATATCCAGCATATATAAAGAACTAAAAAAAATATTAGATCACCTAAAATAAAGTTTAAAAAAATTAGAGCATCCAGTAAAGAAATGGGCTAGTGAAATAAACAGATACTTCTCAGAGGAAGAAATACAAATGGCCAAAATATGAAAAAATGTTCAACATCTCTGGCCATTACAAAAATGCAAATTAAAACAATGCTAAGATTCCATCTTACACCAGAAAGAATGGTAATCATCAAGAAATCAAAATATAGTTGGATATGGTGGTGCATATCTATAATCTTAGCACTCAGGAGGATGAGGCAAGAGGATTGTTGCAGGTTCGAGGCCAGCCTGGGCTACACAGTGAGTTCAACCTAAACCAGTGAGACCCTGTCTCAAAAAAACAAAACCAAAAATAAAAACAAATGCTGAGCAGTGGTGAAAACGGAACCTTCCTACAATGTTGGTGGAAATAAGAACTAACCATTATGGAAATCAGTATGGAGATTTCTCAAAGAACTAAAATTAGAAATTCCATATGACCCAGCTATCCCTCTGCTATGTATCGTACTCAAAGAACTTAAGATATTAGACTACACTGAAACATGCATACCAATATTTATAGTAGCACAACTCATAATAGCTAAATCCTGGGAGTAGCCTGTATATGTTATCATCATGAAAAGATGACTGGATAAAGAGAATGTGGTAGCTACATATAATGGAATACTAGTCAGATATAAAGAATGACAAACCTGAGACATTTGTAGGAAAATGGATGCGCTTGTAAAATATAATTCTGAGAGAAATAAAGCAGACACACAAGCTTAAATACCATATGCAATGGGCTGGGGATCTAGCTCAATGGTTCTGCTGCCTGCCTTGCAAGCATAAGGATCTGAGTTCGATCCCCAGTACCAAAATAAACAAACAAACAAAAAACCCATATGCTATCCCTCATTTGAACAAGGCAAAGTACAATCAAGGAGAATAACAAAGGATGGATAAAAGCAGACAAGGGGATGGATTTTTTGCAAATGGGATGGAGTCCAAGACACCAAGAATGAGGAGGAGGGAAAGGGGAAATAAGTAGAATGATAAATCATGTATAGGAACCTAATAACCTCATGAATGTAAACACGATATACCATAAACATGAGCTAAGATTAGTAACATCAACAAGAACGAAAATGGTTAAGGGAAATTAGAGGAGGAGGGACAGGGAGGGAAGGGAAAGGGGTTGAAAAAAAAATCAAGATGTATTATGTACATGTACCCACTACTTAAGATGACTGGAAATGCATGTATTGCAAATATGTACTAATAAAAGTAAAGGAATTAACAAAACACTCATTATGCAGCTCAAGCTGGCCTTGAACTTGTGGTGATCCTCCTGCCTCAACTTTTCAAGGTCTGGCAATACAGTGTGGGCCACCATGGCTAGCTCTACAGCTTAAACTCTTGAACCAGACTGTGGGTTTACCACTTACTTTGTGACTGTGGAAAGGTCATTTAACCTCCACCTTCCTGACTTTCATTATCCGTAAGCCCTGTCTCGTAGGATTACCGATAATCCTTGGCATGACAATTCTGTCTCTATTTGTGTTCTTTTAGAAAATAGCAAATTTACTCCTATTATTAAAAAAAGGTGTTATTTTAAATTTCTTCAAATCAAACTATTTCTCTATGTAATAATTTATTTAGTTTACTGCATTTTAAAGGGAACTTTAAGTATTTCCTTACTTTCCACTCAGTACTGCCACACCTACTGTGCTTCTGGGAGTGGACATAGTGGCAACAAAGTTCCACTGGCGAGCCTGTGGGTCCCATCTTTCGACCGTGTTCAGGTAGCTCCAGCCATCATGTCCTCCGACTGCATACATGGGGCCTTCCAGCACAGCCACACCTGCAAGGAGAAAGAGTCCATAACCTAAGGATTGCTGCTTAACTCAAAATTCACATTTTAATTGAAACAGAAGTACAATATACCTTAAAGACATACATGTAACCATCAAAAAAGTTCATGCCTTAGAAATTAAAAATCTTTGCCATTCATGCATAACCCAACCAACATATTATTTTACTCACTTGTTATATACTGTGTCCCATCTGTACTGTCAGAGATTATACGTATATATTTGATCATGTAAAAATATCACTGTTGTATTATCATATAACAGATATTAAATTGTTTAAATAATATATATATAAATATATATAACTATATATCATTAATCAAGGGGCTAGAAGAAAATGTGTCCATCTAATTAAACTCCTTAAATAACAGCTTTGAAAAAAAGTTTAGCAGCAGAAGCATCTTTTCAAGTGAAATCTTCATATAATTCCCACATATGAAGAGATAGAGTATTTCCTAAAAATTTTTAAGTTCATATCTGTATCATTTATTATAAAGTAAATTACAAAGTAAAAACAAAGATGTCTTGAATGAATGGAATAAAAATTTCAAATTAGTATTTTTTAATCAAGGGGCTAGAAGAAAATGTGTCCATCTAATTAAACTCCTTAAATAACAGCTTTGAAAAAAAGTTTAGCAGCAGAAGCATCTTTTCAAGTGAAATCTTCATATAATTCCCACATATGAAGAGAGAGTATTTCCTAAAAATTTTTAAGTTCAAATCTGTATCATTTATTATAAAATAAATTACAAAGTAAAAACAAAGATGTCTTGAATGAATGGAATAAAAATTTCAAATTAGTGCTTAAAGAAGAGTCTGATCTACTGATCAACCTCTTCTGAACTTGCTGAAGTTCAATGTCTTTACCTAGGCTAAGGGTAGTACTTCATATACAATCCAGTGTACAAAACTAGCTGGACTACTTGAGTAATTATAGCCTAAGTGCTAAGAAAGATTTACTCTAAATTAGAATTAAATTTCCTACCCCAAGGTGTGGGAAATGAAGAATGCAGTTAAATTATATTTATATTTTATCAACCCTGGATTTTATGGTAAGCCTAAATTTTTGGGTCTTATTCATCCTTAAGAGACATCAACTACACTTTCCTTGCTATCCATCTATCCTTCATGATGACTTTTCAAATTCCTAACTGTAACTATTTAAACTTTTTCCAAACTATAATACATTGACAATATAACCAAAAATTGTTCCTTTGAATTTATATCTCTTTTATCAACCCTGGATTTTATGGTAAGCCTAAATTTTTGGGTCTTATTCATCCTTAAGAGACATCAACTACACTTTCCTTGCTATCCATCTATCCTTCATGATGACTTTTCAAATTCCTAACTGTAACTATTTAAACTTTTTCCAAACTATAATACATTGACAATATAACCAAAAATTGTTCCTTTGAATTTATATCTCTTTCAATGTGACTCTGCAGCTCCTTTTGTGAAGAGCAGGTACCTGTTTCTCTGTTTACTGAATCTGAACTTGCCCGTGTGATTTGTTTTGGCCAGTGAGACATTAGCAAACATGTGAGCAGAGGCTTGAAAACTTGTGCCCTGGGACTTGTCTTCTCTCACTGCTTTTGAAACCCTCAGCCACCCCATCAGTCTTCTGCCTAGTACAGAATGTAAGCTGCTGTGGGAATGTAACATATGACGTTATGAGTGAATGAGCACTTAGACTTACCGAGGCCATGTCTATGTGTGGACATAGGCGGCATCACACTCCAAGTTTTTGTTTTGGGATTGTAGCACTCTACAGTATTCAAAGTCTTCAGTCCATCTCTCCCTCCAACCACAAACAGTTTGTCATCTAACACTGCAACTCCAAATTGTAGCCTTCTCCCATTCATAGTCGCCACAGGAGTCCACATATTTGTACGGAGATCATACTTTTCAATGCTTGTTGCACCTGAATTGTAATATACAGAAATTATATAAATAAAAATTCTACCAAGATTGATAATTTTAAGAAACTGTACATATAAAAGTATAATTTCATTAGCACTTTCAATATGCTTTCATGGTTTCCTATGAAACCCCTGAATGACATTGCCCCCACCATATGTTACCTCATCTCCTATCATTCTCTAGGATACACACCAGGTCCCAGTAATAAACAATCAAGTAGGCAAGGATTATTTATCAAAGGGAGCCAAGAAGCAACAGTGTGACCTGGATAGAAAAGCAGGAGTTTAATGCCAGGGGAGCCAGGTAAAAGGTTTATGGCACGTAGGTCTGCTAACAGAACCAAATGCCACTGAGAGCATCAAGTAAGATGAAGACTAAAAAGTATTGCTGGATTTAGCTACATGAGACTATTATGGTTTGTGCCTAGATGTCCCCCCAGAGCTTCATGTGGTCACAGGCAGGGCTTTTCAGATGGCTGGAGCTAGGGTGTATGATGCTAGGATCAAGGATGTGTGATAATTAAATAAGTCCACTAACTGGTTTGGCATAGTGCTGGGTTTTGATAATGGGAAGGCACACACTGACTGTGAGTGTTACCTGCCCTAAGGGTGTGTAGCCTGGCTAGAATGTAAGGGAAAGAAAAAGGGCTGTTGCCATCACCTGCTACTTCACTGCTTTGCTGCCTTCTGCCCACCATGGACTATTTCTCCTCTGTGCTGCCCCTGTACTATGACTCCCTGCCTTGGAGCCAGCCAAATGTGTACTGAAACCTCTACAAACTATGGGCCAAAATACAGTTTTCCTCCTTTAACTTTGGGTATTTAGTCTCAGCAATGAGAAAAGTAACTAAGACAAAGTCACTGATGACTTTAGGGAAAACTCCTTATTTGAGTGGCTGATACATGCTTAGGAGGTGAGAAAACACAGATGGTTAGCACAGAGGATGCTTTTGAGATGTTTTGCTATACTGAAGAAGAGATAGATAGGTTGAAGGGGTTTTGTTTTGTTTTTAAAACTGGAAAACCTGAGCTGCTTAATCTAGTTGAGAAGAATGAAGCTGAAAATACAGATAAAAGGAATACACAATTAGCAGTATCAGGTTCCTGAGGAGGCAAGAAAGGACAGTAAAGTAGTGGCAGACATCTGACTTTCAGAGGAAGAGAAGAACCATCACCAATGACAAGGACAAGAGGTCATGTCCTTTGGGAACTGTGAGTGAAGGAAGTTTCTGGTTGATAATGCCTACATTAAAAAAACAAAAAACAAAAAACTGAGGGCTGGGGATTTAGCTCAGTGGTTCTGCCACCTTCTTTGCCAAAACAAACAAACAAACAAACAAACACTGGAAAATTCCTAAATTTTGTTGGGGATTTAGCTCAGTGGTTCTGCCACCTTCTTTGCCAAAACAAACAAACAAACAAACAAACAAACACTGGAAAATTCCTAAATTTTTGGGGGAGAAGGGGTTTAATGTTTATTTTTCCAACAGGAAATGGTTATTTATATATATTTATTTTATTTTATTCTTCTTGAGGAATTGGTACATATACATATTACATCTTAATCAGAACTTTTAAAATTCTCTTTATGAAGTGAAACTAATAGGGGTTTTAAAAAAAAAAGCACCACCATGGAAAAAAGAGCCCCTAATAACAAAGGATTCAATTAAAAACCTCTTCTCTCTCCTAAGCTTCTAATATAACATATAACCAGTACTAGCTTTTACAGAATCATGATCACAATGAACATTCATTCTAAAGTATTTATTACATTAGGTCATCACAGCACTGGTAATATTGCCAATATCCTAAAATTTAGAGTTTTATTTTACCTATAGATATTATAATTCAATATTTTTATTTACGCTTCTAAATCCTAAATTATTTGGAATTGATACCCAAATAACTGTGTCCACCTGTATATTCTTGGCAACACCAAATAGAATCCCTTCTACAAAGGAAGCATTCAAAATGTTTTTATTTACTTTTCTCATTGAGTTTATTGGTACTTTTTAAGTATACAGTACAGTTACATTTATCATTGGGATCTTATATCTTTACATGACAGGTATTGGTTTGCATTTTTTCCCCTTACCCCTGCCCTCCCTTCACACCACCCCCATTTACAAACACTTTGTTTCTATTTTTTCCTTTTCTCATATTTTTAAAAATATGGAACGCTTCACGAATTTGCATGTCATCCTTGTGCAGGGGCCATGCAAATTTCTGTATCATTCCAATTTTAGTATATGTGCTGCCAAAGTGAGCACTCAAAATGTTTTTAAATTTGAATAATCTTTCTTTATATATTTTAGCTATAATAAAATTTCATTCATAAACTTAGATTACTGGATGTAAGAAATAGTAAATTCATTATTCCAAATAGAGTCTTAACATCTATCAAATTAATCAAGTCAAATAAAAACTTCCATCAAATAAAAAGCTAATTATCTCTCCTCACTAATAAGTTTACGAAATATTTTTTCTTTTGAATTTTAAATTATTTCTTTTATATCCAGTTCATTAAGTAGCATCATAGTGTTATGAAGTGGAAACTAAAACTGTTGCTAATTTCAAACATAACATGCAAAACATTAAATATTAAAGCATAGCCACAAATTTATATCATAAAAAACCCCAACCAGCCAAAAAGAACAAAAACCTAGTAATTGTAAAGTTTTATGTAAAAGAATAGAATGTCTCTAATTTATATGGAAGGATTAACCATTAAAAAGCAAGCACAAGCCATGCCCTCTCCTGCCAGGTGCCTCCATCACTCCAGCGCCAGGAGGGCCTGCTTGGGCCAGGACCCTGGGAAGGACAGCCATGCCCTCTCCTGCCGGGTGCTGCCATCGTTCCAGCACCAAGAAGGTAGCTGCACAGGGGCCTCTGAACCCCCACAACTCCCCCAACACCCCTGACACTCTCAGACCTCCTGATTGTGCCAGCCTTTGGACCCACTCTGCTGAGGCAGAGGTGGTCATAAAGGGTATTTTTCTGAGTTCCCCACTTTGAACATCTTTAAAGAAAGGGTGTAGGAAATCTGTAGTAAAATGGTGTGAAGTTCAACCGTTCAAGAGGTTGGGGAACTCAATCTGGGCCTTGCAGCCTGAGGTCAGTCTGCGTCATGGAGTTCTGCCATCAGCTAGCTGAGATCAGGGGTCTTGGTTCTGCAACATGGCTCTGCATGTTGTATATTATGACAGCAGAGATATAGTCTGAAAGAGGCCCTTCAAATCATTTTTTTCTTTGTTTTCCTCATTCCACTCTGCAAACTCTTTCTCTTTTTTATCCTTTCTCCAACTCAGTCTCTTGCTCCACCATATTATCCCTCATTTCCCTTTCTGTTTCTGCTCCTGCCCTAACTCAGATTTCTTCTTTTATCATTTTTTCTCTTTTCTTTTTATGTTCTATTCTTCTGTCATTCTACCTCACACAGGGATCAGTGATTTCAAGGGAAAGTGAGCCCCTATTACTGTTAAGGGGATATATTCTTGTCCTTGTACTTCTACTCTGTCTATCCCTTTTGAATTTAACAGTTTCCTGAATATTGTGTGGTCATTCTATGTCCTCTGGCCTCACTTGAAACCTTCTGTAATTCTTTTACTTATCTACTCCTCTCGTCCTAGGTCTCTCTGAGCCCCCATCCTAAATGGTAAATATACTACATTGAAAAGTTTTTTCACCGCAGACATGTTTTGGACTGCTTCTTGATTTCAATTTAATTCACATGGTTTAAGGGTGATAGATTAGTGACTACTACAAGTTGTCAGTTTCCAAGTTGTGCTTGATCATATTGTGTTGCTGATTGTATCAGTTGGGATAGAGGATTGTGATTTACTTGATAAGCTGTTTTCCCTGATGTTATGAAGATGAGAATGTCTGTGGGTCATTAGAGACACAGAAGCTAGGGTGCAACTATATCAGGAAGATTTGGGTGATAACCCAGAGATTAAACAAAGGACAGCCCAACAACAAAAATAAAAATGAGAAAACACTTAAGCAAGAGACAAAGACAGATTTCCAGTTCATCAATGGCAAACAGTAGAGCAAATGAGGATGAAAAGGCCAATAGTGAACCACCAGGACACCTTGAATGCAAAGCACAGGAAGTAACAAAACAGATCAATCAGGCTCTAGAAAAACTCAAAACAGAGATAATTGCCCAAATAACCATAGAGATGGTGAACAAAATGAAAGTCATGATTCAAGACTCTAGACAGAAACTGACAAAAAAATAGATGAGCTCAGGACCACGACAGAAGCCATGAAGGCCCAGCATAAGAAAGAAATGGAAACAATAAACACCCAACATAGGAAAGAAATGGAATCCGTAAGACAGATTCAAACAGATATCCAGGAGATTAAACACTCTATTGAAAGTGTATGCAACAGAATAAAAGAATGAAAAGATAGACTCTCAGATATAGAAGATAAGATTGCAGTCAGTGACCATGAAAAGAGAGGTCTCTTAAAAACAGTAGGGGATCATGAGAAATCAATCCAACAACTCCTAGATGATGCGAAGAAGAATAACATAAGACTGATAGGAATCTATGAAGTAGCAGGAGAAAATGCAAATGACTTAAAAAAGCTGTTCACAGAATTAATGACAGAAAACTTCCCAAACAGAGGGGAAGAATTAGACATTTAGATAAGTGAGGCATATAGGACACCAACTAGCTACAATCAAAAAATCTACACCTAGACATATAATAATCAAGATCCCAGGAACCCAACAGAAGAACAAAATACTACAAGCAGTAAGAGAAAAGAAACAAATCACATGCAAAGGAAAGCCCATCAGAATCACAGCAGACTTTTCAACACAAACCCTTAGGTCAAGGAGAGCCTGGAGTGAGATATTTCATGTAGTAAAAGAAAACAACCTCCAACCTAGATTGAAGTATCCTGCAAAACTCTCTTTCAAAATGGATGGGGAAATAAGACACTTCCATGGCAAAGAACACCTGAGAAACTACATGAATACCAAACCAGCACT